GTCCAGAGCCCGGAGCCTCATCATTCCGGACGGTGAGCGGGGCCGGGGAGCGGGGAGAGGCGGCGGCGGGCCCGGGCAGGCAGTCCCGGGGGTCCTCCCCTCGCAGCGCCCCGCCGGCCCCCGTGATCGCCCTTGTTGTTGCTTTCAGCTCCCGCGTTCTCTGAGCGCCGGTCTGGTCTCCCCCAGCTAGACTGTGAGCGCCCCCCTGGCAGGGGCCTGGACTCCCCCTTCCTCGGCATTCGGCCGACGTTTATGTGCTATGTGCCCAGCCCGGTGCTAGCTTCCGTGGGAGACACAGGTGAGAGACGGGGCGTCGCCGCAGGGGCTGCGTGACAGCGGCCCCTCTCCGCCGGCTGGACGGTCAGCACGGCCCGGCGCTCACAGGCCAGTCGTGGAGAGGCCAGCAGGCGAGGACGCTGGGACGGGGCGCACTGGCCCGAGCAGCAGGCGGTCAGATAGCGGGGAGTCGGCTGCTGGACCCCTAGGCCTCTGGAAGTTCGAATCCAGCAGCAGCATCCTGGGGAAAGGGGGACAGTCCTCTTCTCTGAGTTACAGCCGCACAAAACCCACTGGCGGGTCCCTGGCTCCGAGTCGGTGACCACTGGCAGTGTGGGCGAGCAGGGGTCGAACGGAAAGGTGTGCAGGAGAAAGACACACGCCCAGACACACACACCCACCCCACCCCGTCTCAGGACCCCGCTAGAGGCCGACTGAGAGTGTCGATGGTGGGGTTTTTGGTAGAGCCTCAGGCCCTGCTGTCCACTGAAAGGTTGATGGTTCGAACCATCCAACTGCTTCTGGGGAGAAAAACGTGGCAGGCTGCTTCCGTGGAGGCGAAGCTGACCCGAGGGCCAGGTTTAGAGGACAGAGCCCTGAAGCCACAGGTGTTAAGTATCAGCTACTCGCCAGAGAGTCAGCCTTCCCCAGAGATGAGGGCTCGAGCCTGGGACTCCCTGTGAGCTCATTCTGTGCAGGAGTCTGGTGACACAGGACTTGCTACCAGAAAGGTCACTGCTTCGGGTCCAGCACAGAGTCCTGCAGCCTTGGAAACCGTGGGGGAGCTCCGCCCAGTCCTGCAGGGTCACTGGCCAGCACAGACGCAGTGGCAGCGGGGCGGGCGTTAGTCCCGAAGTACCTGTGGGTGGAATAGTTAAGTGCTTAACTGCTAACTGAAAGGTCAGCCGTTTGACGCCCCAGCCCCTCCACAAAGAAATGTGGTCATGTGTTTCCGTCAGGGTTTGCGGCCCTGTCGGGTGGCTCTGTCCTGCCTGGGGTTCTGTGAGTCACCATCAGCTCCGTGGCAGGCATTTTATGGGGAGGTTCTTGGAGGCACCTGTGCTGCAGTGGGTAATGCCCACCCTGCTGGTAAGCAAAAGGTTAGCAGTTCAAATCCACCAGCCAGTCCTCAGGGAAGGCCTGGGCCTTTGCCTCCGTAGAGATCACATCTGGGAAACTTGAGGGCTCTAGTTCTGCTCTGTCCTGGAGCTTCTGGGAGTCATGATTACTCAGTGTCAAGGAGTCTTTAGAGGTAGACCCCTGGGTTTTTGCTTGACCACTAACCAGAGAGTTGACAATGAGGAGCCCTCCCCACCTTGGTGTGCCGGGAAAGAGTGCAGCCAGTGTAAAATCTGAGTGGCGCAGGCTTCCTAACTTGGAGGTCAATTTGAGTCGGAATCGACTTGAACGCCAACACCTGAGCTCTTGGCAGGAGCTAAGGATGTCTATGCAGAGGGCAGGACAGACCCTGTGGATGGACTCCCAGACCGGCCACTCCAGGGAAAACAGTGTCCAGTTCAGGGTCTAGGCAATGAGGAGGACAGTGACCCCTGCAATAGACATCACGTCAGAAAGGCAGCGAGGGTCACAGTGATTCTCCCGTCACGGCAGGCATTGCCAACTCTTGCAGACTTGGGCTGTAGTCAAGGGAAGGGTCCTGAGCCGGGTGCACCAGGCCCTGCCAGCCCTGCTTTGGAGGTAGAGTGGTGTAATCCTCACAGCCTCGGTGCTGGGCTTCTGCTGGGGAATGGGGGTGGCCTGCAGTGCTGGAGCAGGCCGACAAGAGGACTGGGGAGGGAAGAAGAGGCCTAGAATGCGGATGTAGGCCCTGGAGCCTCAGGCCCTCACCCTGGGAGGCAGCCAACGGGAACTTGGTCGGTAACCCTGGGGGGAACATGGAGCTGTGAGGCTGGTGTCCTGCAGTCCTGGCTGTGTCCCAGCCCAAGATGCTCTGTGTGTGTGCTATTTGCCTGTTTGTGGCATGGGCAGTAGGGAGCATCCGGGCAATAGCAGGACTGGGTGGGCAGTGGAGCCTCGGAAAGCTTGAAAGAGAATAGCCGCTAGCAACGGAATCCTACTTGGTTCCCCTGAGGGACTTCTGAACATCCAAGCCCTGGGTGGTGCCCGCGATGGTACCTGCTGAAGGCTTCACTCCCCTGGGAGGTGGGCAGGTGCTGGTACGGTGGCTGAGTGTGGCACCTGGCCCAGGCACCTGCGAGGAGGAAGGTGGAGAAGCTAGAGCACGTGGTGTGCAGTCTGAAATCCTGTCCGTGTGTCCTTTGCTGGAGCCCCACAACCAGTGGACACTGAGGTTTCTCTCCCAGGTCAGGTGGGGCATAGCTTGGAATTTCTTCTAACAACTCTTCAGGAGAACTTCCTCCCACATTTGTTCTGTTCTTGTTGCAGATGATAAACTTGAAGAGCCTGAAGAGGCAAATCCATTCTCTTTTAAAGAGTTTCTGAAAACCAAAAATCTTGGTCTGTCCAAAGAGGATGCACCCAACAGTCGGGTTTACTCAAAGGTAACTTGGGACTGAAGTGGGCAGTCCCTGTGTGTAGAGGCCAGGCTGCGGGCAGAGCGCTGTGGGGACAACCTGGACCACCGTTTCCCTGCCCTGGTGCCTCCTCCAGTCTAGAGGGGGAGGCTTGGACCACTGTGTGCAGCAACACATCCTGCTCTCTCCCCAGGAGACCCCGAGGCACGCCCTGGGGCTTGAACACAGCTCCCCGAGTCCCCAGGCCACGGGCTATGGCCTGGAATACCCACAGCAGTTCTTTGAAGACCCGACTGGGGCTGGCGATCTCCTGGAAGAGGACGAGGACAGCTGGGCCGGGGCCTACCTGCCATCGGCAGTGGAGCAGACCCACCCGCTGAGGGCTGCCACCGCCATGTCTCCCTGCAGCACTTACGTGTCCTTCTTCTCCAGCCCTTCAGAGCTTGTGGGCCCCGAGTCTCTGCCCCCGTGGAGTCTGAGTGACCCCGACTCCCGAGCATCCCCCGCCTCCCCCACGAATAGTCCAAACCCCGATTTTGCAGCCCGTGGGGAGACCCTGGGAGACCGGCAGCTGCGGACACTGCAGATAAGTTACGAAGCAGTAAGTGTGGCTGCCTGGCCGACCGACGGGCCACAGGGTGGCCCTCGGGACCTTGATGTGATCCTGTTTCTGGGGCCCAGGATTTGCTGCCCACAGCCTTACAGCGTGTCCATGGGGCCCTTTCTCCCGTGACACGTCTGTGACGTGTGAGCGTGACCAGCTGTGACAGGGATGGATGTGACCCTTCAAGGGTGATACTCCAAGCCGGGTCAGTATGAGTCACCAGATTAGGACGCACTCAGTTCTGTAATGAGTCGTAAGGGACAGTGAAACGGGTGCCTTTGACCCCAGGCCCTTGTGCATGGCCTGGCCTCCTGGCCGCTCATCTGACAGCCAGGTGTTGGCCCTTGTGAGTGAGTTGGCCCAGCTGCTAACAAGGATTTTCTTTCTCTACAGCTGAAAGAGGAAAACTCTAAGCTAAGAAGAAAGCTGAATGAGGTTCAGAGCTTCTCTGAAACTCAAACAGAAATGTATGTAAGCTCTCAGTCAGGGCCCATGAGACCTCCTTCCGCACCAGCCTGGGCTGGGCTTCACCTGCTCACATACGTGCTGCAGTGAGTCGCGGTCATCCGAGTGCCTGGCTGGTCTGTCTTCCGCTCAGCGGCCGTTAGTGAGTCGGAGCCGACTCCAGGGCCCTGGCCAGGCTTCCTAATGTTAACGCAGGCCCCCTGAGACTCAGAGCTGACTGGAGGCATCTGACCGCCAGTATTCTGGGCGATCGGTGTTGCTTGCCGATGCGTGTCTGAAGCCCTGCCTCAGGCTCAAACTGTCTCCCCTTGTGCCCTCACCTGGGTCTTTCTGTAGCAAGGGACCCCACTTGCTAGCTCCTTATATGCACAGACACACCCTGAAACATTCTGGGACGCGTGCCAACCGCAGCCTCTCCCTTGGTCTAGGGTGCGTACACTTGAACGGAAGCTGGAAGCGAAGATGGTCAAGGAGGAGCGAGACTACAGGGACCTGGAGTCTGTGGTCCAGCAGGTGGAGCAGAACCTGGAGCTGATGACTGTACGCACGGCTTTGTCTCTCACTCGCAGGGTGGCTGGTTCGGGCTCTGTCGGGTGCTTTGCTTCTACTGCACTGCCATCCATGGAGTTTGGTCCCTGGCTGGGGCAGAGGGTCCCACAGGGCTGGCCGCTGTGTCGGGGAGCTGGTCTACTATCCTGGGCCGATAGGGCCACATCACGGCCTCTCTCGGGGCCACGTCACAGGTTGTTTTCTTTCTGACACAGAAACGAGCCGTGAAGGCAGAAACCCACGTCCTGAAGTTGAAGCAGGAAGTCAGTTTGCTCCAGGTAAGCACGGGAGTTTGGAAGCAGGAGTGGCATCCGCTTCCTGAAACTGTGATCTTTGATACGTGTTGATGGTTGTAGAGGGGCTTCAGGCCTTTTGTTCACAGGGTCACTGTGAGTCGTGCTCGACTCGAAGGCGACCCACAAGCACGGAAGAGGAGGCGTTCCTTCTGTGACCTGTAGAGTCGGGAGGTGCGGGAGCATCACTGGGCTGTGCTGTCCTGCGCTGTGCTGTCCTCTTGTTGGGTGGCCACAGCTTCCTGCCAGGGACTCTCAGGCCCCAGCCTGCCTCCTTAGCTCAGCAAGGGATCCTTGAGCTCAGCTTTTGGGCCGTGTGCACGGGAAGGGCTCAACACAGAGACTTCAGTGTTGCTGTCCGGAGCTCGAGCACCAGCTCAGCAGGACAGGGCAGGGTGGTTGTTGTTGTTAGAAGGTGCTGTTGAGTCAGGTACACCTCAGCGACCCTGTGAACAGCATCCCTGAAGCCCATCCTGTCCTGGGCCGTCCTCATGGCCTCTAACGCACTCAGCCCTGTTGCTCACACAGAGCGAGCTGAGATGCTAGTCCTAACAGCTGCACACCTTTGGCAGTCGGACCCCACCATCAGCTCCTCGGGGGCACGGGCTGTCTCCTCCGGGAATGATTTTGACCTGGGAGAGCAGTGATGGGTCCCTGAGTCAGTGCTGACTTGACGGCAGTGAGTTTGAGTCTTCTGAATCGCTGAAGGAATTCCAGTGGCATAGTGTGTGACTGCTGATGGAAAGGTCAGTGGTTCAAATCCACCAGCCACTCCACAAAGGTGTGCACACTCAGACGCCGAGCAGAAGGTCACTGTGAGTCAGGATGACTTGACGGCAGTTGCTGTTGTAATGTGCCATCGAGTCGTTTGCGGCTCTTAGCGACCCTATGTACAAGAGCCCTAAACGCCATTCTATTCTGTGCCAACCTCGCCGTCTCAAACACATTTATTCCCACCACTCCACTCACAGAATCGATCTATCTCATCAAGGGTCTTCCTCTCCTGCGCTGTCCCTCCACTCTGCCAAACATGATGTCCCTCTCCAAGGACCAGTCCCTCCTTGCAACATGCCCAAAGTATGTCAGACGAAGCTTCAGAATCCTTGACTCCAAGGAGCATTCCAGCTTCACCCTCTCCAGGACAAACCTGTTAGTTCTCCTAGCAGTCCATGGTATATTCAACACTCTTCTCCAGCACCACAGCTCAAAGGCATCAGTTCTCTTCCTATCATCCCTATTCATTGTCCAACTCTCTGACACGTAGCACGTAACTGCAAAGACTACAGCCTAGTAGTAGGGTGTGGATTTTTGGGTTTAAAGAGGAAGCCTGAGGGGAGCACGCAAGTTAGCTTGGTTGCTATCCAGAATCTGGGCATTGAGGGCACCCTGAGGTGCCGTGGCAGCAAGCCCTGGCAGTCTCTAAACTGCTAGAAATCCCGGCGTGGGTCCCCAGCACCACCATGGAGGCTGCTTAGCCCTGAGAACTGGACTCCTGTCCACAGCTCTGAAGCTGCTCCACTGGTTACCCCACTTGTGACATGGGGCCGTGTCAGATCTTTAACGCCCTGTGCCCCACGTGGGAGGTTCTTCATGTCTTGCCCCATCTGTCCCTCCCCCAAGACACAGGTCTGTAACTTCAAGCAGGAGAATGAAGCTCTGCGGTGTGGCCAGGGCGCTAGCCTAACCACAGTGAGGCAGAACACCGATGTGGCCCTGCAGAACCTCCGCCTTGTCATGAGCAACGCCCGGGCGTCCATCAAGTAAGGCCGGCAGCCCTGGGGCCACGGGGCGGGGGGGGCAGGCACTCGGCCAGGGCCCAGGCAGGCCCTGTGCTGCATGCTGTCACCGGGAACGCAGGTGCTGACGTCACCGTCAGCAGTCTCGCATCCCGACTCCTTCCCTTTGTTGGGTGCTGTTGTGTTGACTGAGTCACAGGGTCCTCTCCTGTACCATCCCCCGGTCTCCGTGTACTCAGGCCGAGAGTTCAGTCAAAATCAGTCTGTCTCGTTGAAGGTGGTCTCCGACTGACTCTCCAGGGACCGGCCCTTCCGACAGCGTGCCCACAGTACGTGAGAGAAGCCTAACCGTCCCCGCCTCCACAAGCACCTGGTCACACTTCTTCCACGACAGACCCGTTGGGCGAGCCGTAGCGTATCCAGTAGTCTTTGCCGGAACCAGAGTTCAAGGACATCTGTTCTCTCCTATTGTCAGTTCTCGAGTGTCATCAGGTCCACTGTGATCACAGCAACGCCGGCTTTACTCAGCACCACCCTCTCCATTCCTGAGACTCAAGCCTGTTGTTACAGTTGCTGTGTCAGTCCGTCTTGTTGAGGGTCTTTCTCGCCCTTGCTGATTCTCACCTTTGCAGATGTGCTGTTCTTTTCCAAGGAACAACATGCCCAAAGTATGTGAGATGTAGTTTCACCATCCTTGCCTCTAAGGAACTCCATGGTTGTACTTTCTCTGAGATTGACGTGTGTGTTCTTTTGGAAGTCCATGTCTTACTGAGTCCTCTTCCCCAACACTACAACTCAAATAAGTCAATTTTGCTGTCATTCTTACTCAGCGTCCAACTTTCAGATGCAGAGGCAGCAGTTGAAAAGACCATGGCCTGAGCCAGGTGCACCTTAGTCTTTAAGCTGACATCCTTGCTCTTTAGCATGAGGGGTGTTCCTTGACAGTCTATTTTCTCAGTGCAACACTGCTGGTACCAAAGGTATAGATTACGGATCCAAGCAAAACAAAGTCATTGACATTTTCAGTCTTTTGTCTTCCTGTTGTTACCCCAGTGGTGAGGACCTTTTTTTCTTGATGTTGAGATGGAATCCATATTGAAAGCTGTAGTCTTGATCTGCAGGAAGTATTTCTTCAAGTTCTCAACTTTCAGTAAGCAAATTATGTCTTATGCATAATGCAGATTATTGATAATTCTCTAATCCTAATGCCATGCTTTCTTCATAATTTAGCTTTTGGAAGGATTTGATGAGCAGACACATTTCATAGGTATGGAGAAAGGACCTTGATCACGCGGTGTCCTCCTGACACGCACCTTCCTTGATGACGCGGTGTCCTCTTGCTTTATTCAAAGTTTTGTGGTCTAGAAATAGTCTTTGCATGAGCACAATCGAGTGTCCTGGCATTCGTTCTTTTCAACGTTGGCCGTAATTTGTTATGAGCCACAGAGCGAAATGCCTTTGCATGGTCAATAAAACACAAATAGACAATCTGCTGGTACTCTCTCTGCTTTCAGCTCAGAGCCATCTGACATCAGTAGTGATACCCCTAGAGCCACAGCCATTTCTAAATCTTGAACTTCTGACAGTTTTCTGTCAATCTGCTTACTGGTCTAGCTGTTTTTGGGTAATCGTCAAGATTTTATTTCGTGTCGTAGTAGTGATGCTGACCACTAGCTTCCACATTGTTGACTCACCTTTGTTAATACTGAGGAGTGATGCATATTGGAGAATGCGGCCTCATCCTGTTTGGTAAATGCTTCAGATCCTCACTCCCACAGTCCGGGCTGTGTCATGTGCGTAACAGGCTGAGGACGAGTCTTTCTCCAGTCACGATGCTGAGTTCTTCCTAACTTACAGACCTTCCAATTCTGAGTTAAAGAGAATGACAGTATTCTCACGCGTGGTGTGTGGTAGGTAGTTAACAGTGATCAGCTGCTAACCGGATGTTAGTGACTCCCCCAGCTGCTCTGCAGGAGGAAAGCGGGCAGTCTGCTTGTGAAGACTTCTGCTCTGGAACCTTCCACGCACTTCTGCTCTCGAGGGCTCTTTTACCTTTGGAAAAGGCCCTCTGAAAAGATGCTGGAGAGTTCAGCCGCTGACCAAAAAAGTCAGCAGTTGGATCCCACCAGCCACTTAATGAAGGATAAGGCTTTTGCAAAGACACCTTGGAAAAAGCTCTCTGGGACAGTCATGTCCTGCAGGGTCACTGGGTTAGCATTGATAGCAGTAGGCGTCCTGTTGTAAATAGTAAAGAAGGTTAAAAAAAAAGGCTTTTACAAGAACAAGCCACACCATCATACGGACTCTGCCTCATGGGAGCCCTGTTTCTCAGGTCTAAACCTTAGCAAGAACTCACTACCACCTCATCTTTGCACCACAGAGCGGCCCACCAAGGCTTATCAGAGGCCCCTGGTGGGGTCAGATTCTTTGGAAAGATAAGCTGCTGTCAGGAGTTTGACCACGACCCACTGGTCAGCCCTGGGCTGGGGGACTGGGTTGGTGTGCGACACTGCTGTTGAGCAGTGACCACTCACAGTCCCTGTCTTCATTTCAGGCAGCTGGTGTCTGGAGCGGAAACACTGAATCTTGTCGCCGAAATCCTTAAATCTATAGACAGGATTTCCGAGATTAAAGAGGACCAGGAGGACGAGTCCTGAGAAGCGACGGGCTGGCTCAGCCACAGCACACCCCGAGGGCGCCGTTTGCCTTATCCAGCAGCTTTGTCAGTGTGCAGTCTTCCCCGTAGTAAAGATGTTTACCGTGAGACGCTGACTCCCTGACCTGCCAGCAGTATTGTTGCCCACAGGAGGGCTTGGATGGGAGGTGGCCGTGCACTCCCCCTGCCTTTACACTCTGCCTACTGGTGAGCTGCAGGAATTTCCTTATAAAGGCCAGTAGTGTAAAGAATTCCTAAGCACAGGAACAGCCATTCTGTACTCTTTTCCGTAGCCCACTGGTTGTGAATGAGTTGATTCAGCTGACCTTGATTAGTATGTAGAAAACAGTAAACAAACCCCCATACAGATATCTGCCCAGACGGGTGCATGGCCACATGGCCCTCCAACCTTCCTCTCCAACTGTCCCTCACAGCTGCCTCCGTGGCAGTGCAGCACCAGGAGCTCTGGGCTGGACCCCTCAGTGCTGTCCCCTCTGCAGAGCCCATCACCAGGGACATGCGTGGCCAACTGTAAACCACCTGTGTGGGCTTTCATGCCAGTACCTACTGGGCTACAAGGGGTCTTCCTCACACGTGGGGTTAGGGATCAGACCTAAGTCTGAGCCTTGGGTGCTACCTGGACGCCCAGGCTCCTTCCCGGTGCTCTCCACAGTCAGGGTTTGGGGAACACCAGGACCTTTTGGGCAGAGTTCCTGCGATGGTATCTTTTTGAAAGTAACTATTCTCCTGCTGTTTGAATGGATAGCTTTCCTATTTAATAAACTCAAGTTCACACCCACCAGTCTCCTTGGCTCTGCTCATTCTCCAGGCTCATGCTGTTTGCATGTGATTGATGGGTGTTGGAGCCAGCAGCTTCCTGAACTCCCAGGTTGGGCGGTGGAGAGCTAGACCGGGTTCAGGGCTGACCGCAGCTTGGTAGGTCCCAGGCCTTACAGCTCTGAAAGTTCCTCCTTGGATGTTGGAGTCAGTTGACTTGTGATTCCGTTCCGAGCTGGCATCCCGTGGCTTCACGTACCTGCCAGGGTGCTCTCAAGTCCTGCCTTGAGCATGTTGCTACCCCAGAGCTGGCTCGTGTGCTGGCAAGAGCTGCCTTCACGTACCCAAGCCCAAGCGGGCTGGAAGTAGGTGTCACCGAGTGACCCTCAGGTGTTCCACCTGCTGACCCTGCTTTCCTAGGAGCTCCCAAGCACGGCCAGGGGTGGAAGGGCAGAGAAGCACCAGTTAGGGTGGCAGACCTGTGAGCCAAGAGCAGTGGGAGTGAGATGCTGGCCACGAGCTCAGGAGATGGCCTGTGCCCTCCCTGCATGCCCCTCCGCCTGCCCGGGAGTTCTGACATTCTGGGAGTGTTCAGCCATCTGCCAACTTGAGGGACGCCCTAGGGGAAGACTGCAGAGAGCGAGTGCATGTGTACCTCTGGGACTGCAGCACACGAGCCCTGCACCGCCAGAGCTCCAAAACCCAAGGAAACGATCTACCCAACCTGGGACCAGATCCGCCCGCACTGGCCCCGTCCGAGGGTGGGGGGATGGAGTCACAGCACCGCATTCTGCGCACAATCGCCCCCACCTCGGGACCCCAAAACTATGGTGCTGGCTACTGCCTCGCCCCTCGGGTCCCTCGGCCAGCTTCCAGCCCCTGGACTGACAGACACTTAAAGACCCTTGGCGGGAAGGTGTGGGCAGGTGGTGGGTAGTCAAACTGACCCCTTCGATAGTGGACATCATTCATTCTTGAGGGTCCGATGGGCAAACAGCCCGTGCAAAGCTCTGGCGAGTGTCGGCCGCAACACCGCCTTGGCCTGGTCACTGGTGGCGGAGGGGGCCCAGAGGCCCAAAGGCCGCACGAGGGCAGCACCGGCCAGCGCGCTCTCGGCTCAGGAGCGGCCGCACAGAGGGCGGGACTTCCGGGCCGCGGCGCTCGAGCCCTGCGACCGCCGGAAGTACTCCCGGGGACCGCAGGGATGCGGAGCTCCCGGCGTGCGCTGCGCCTCAGGGGGCGGGGCGCCTGCGCGCAGAGGCGGGACTTCCGGGCCGCGGCGCGCGAGTCCTGCGACCGCCGGAAGTACTCCCGGGGACCGCAGAGGTGGAGTCTCCGGCCGCCGGGCAGGTGAGGCGCGGCCTGCGTGTGCGCGGATGGGGCGGAGTTGAGCTGTCCCCGTGGAGCAGGACGCCTTCCCCGAAGGCCCACGGCCGGGGCTGTGCGGACAGGGAGAGCCTCGGGTGGGCCGGGCTGGAGCCCGGCGGGGCTGTCTCGGGCGGCCGGCGGTGGACACCGGCATGGCTGCTCCCGGGCGCGTGGGCAGCGGGGCCGCGCGGGGCGCAGGTCCGAGGCTGCCGGCCCGGTGCACCCGTCTCCAGGCGAGCCCCGGGGCCGGGAGTCGGGCTCGCAGAGGCCTCGCTGCTCCGAGGCGCACAGAGAGCCCGCGGCCGGGCCTGAGTCCACATCAGTGCGGTTAGCGCGGGCCGGGGACCCCGATCCGAGCCGGGGACGCCGAGCCTGGGGGCCCTGAGCCGGGCTGGGGGGCGCCGGCAGGTGCGGGCGGCCGGCCTGCGTGTGATCGGACCTGCCGCCTCGGGACTTGAACCTGCGCCCCTGCTCCTCGCTCCAGGCCCCCGACGTCCCTGCGGGTGGTCGAGCCTGAGGACGGGGCTGACCGGGGACTGTCCTGCCCGCGGGTTCCTGTCCTGGTGCTGTCTGTCGTGTTCATGTGTCCGTGGTGCTGTCTGTCGTGTTCACGTGTCCGTGGTCCTGTCTGTCGTGTTCACGTGTCCGTGGTGCTGTCCGTCGGTGTTGATGTGTCCGTGGTGCTGTCTGTCGGTGTTGATGTGTCCGTGGTGCTGTCTGTCGTGTTGACGTGTCCGTGGTGCTGTCTGTCGTGTTGACGTGTCCGTGGTCCTGTCTGTCGGTGTTCACGTGTCCGTGGTCCTGTCTGTCGGTGTTCACGTGTCCGTGATCCTGTCTGTCGGTGTTGACGTGTCCGTGGTGCTGTCTGTCGTGTTCACGTGTCCGTGGTGCTGTCTGTCGTGTTCATGTGTCCGTGGTGCTGTCTGTCCGTGTTGACGTGTCCGTGGTGCTGTCTGTCGTGTTCACGTGTCCGTGGTGCTGTCTGTCGGTGTTGACGTGTCCGTGGTGCTGTCTGTCGGTGTTCACATGGGCTTCTTTTCTGGGGGCCGAGAGGACACAGAGCTTCACAGCCACCTGTGCTGCCAGCTGCTGGGGAGAAGGACAGGCAGCGTCCACCCTGTGATCGTCCTGCTGCGGGGTCAGCCGAGTCTGTTCCCACTCAGTGTGTCACACCAGCCTGACTGGAGAGTGGACCGTCCACAGGTCCTCCCATCACCTGCAGCGTCGCGGTGCTCCTGGGGCCAGGCCGCTGTGTGCAGCTGGGCACAGCATGGCATGGGCTCGCCACGGCGGCCACAGGGTCACAGTGCCAGTTCTTGACCATCTTGACCCCAGAGAAGGCCAGCGAGGGGTCTAGTCTACTGTCCAGCTTCCCGGCCTTTGCCAGTCTCTCCTGGACTTCTCCCTGTTGGTGCTTCGTTCCTCTGTCAGCTTCCCCCCCACACGCATCCCCCATGCCAGGGCTTCATAGAGGTGATTTCCCATCGTGCAGAAGCTGGAGTATCTGACGTTCCTTCTTGCTGTGCTCTTGAGGGGCTGAGGGCAGACAGGGCCCTGCCCTTGGCACTTGCTGCCCGGTGCTGCTATCTGCTGCCAGGCAGTCTGCCCAGCGAACATCACATCCAGCCCTGTGTTCAGCTCTGGGCCTCAGGACAGCAGCTCACGCTTCACGAGGTCCTAGAAACCTGGCTGTCACATCCACCTTGTGACACTGCTCGCCGTGCTGGTCATGGGTCCTAGAACAGCAGCCAGGCCATTGGGTGTGGGCTGCAGAGCTGGGAGCTGATGTGGGGCGTAGGGGCAGTTGATGCACCCCAGGGCCGGCCAGGCCCACTGTCCTCTCCGGAGCCCACGAGAGTCGTGTGTTCTTCCATCACAGACCCCCGAGGAGACAGGAGGGCCATGGACGCCGACGTGGAGAGGGAGAGGATTGCACAGGAAATCCGGGAGCTGGAGAGGATCCTGGACCCTGGCTCCTCCGGCGGCGTGGGGCTCTCAGAGTCGAGTCTGGGCTCGGATTCTGGTGCTGGTGAGCTCCCCGTGGCCTGACCCCCACCCACCTCAGTACGCCTGCTAGGCCTCCCTGTAAAATAGATTGGCCACGTGTTAGAGTCACGTCGGCCCGCACTGTTCCCTCTTCATGAGCAGCTCCACCTGCTGCCTACCTGCCTGAGCCCTCTGCTGGCCATGTGCTGAGGGCCGTCCTGGGAGAAGGCCTGTGGTGCGGTCCTCCTCAGAGTAGGAGGGACCCTGGGGCGCGTGCTCGGAGCACCCGTAGTACTCCACTCCAAGGCCCCTTCCCTGGGCTTCTGGCGGCCATCCAGGCTAACCCCATGGCCCTTCCACTGGAGCCCCACCTGCCTGGCCTGCCCTGACGGGGAGAGTGGTTGTGTGCTGAGCTGTGATGTCATCTAACCATCTCCCTGCTCTGTGCTTGTGCTTCCACAGATTCACTGTGCAGTGAGGACCTCGACTCCCCTGGGCCCCTGACCTTGGTAACTATGACCTACCTGCCAGGTCCAGCATGCCACAGTTTCCAGGAGGGTCTGTGCCGCCGTATGTAGACTTCATAGCCACCGTGCAAACATGCCCAAGAGTTTGACTTGACGACTGAAACGTGCTCAAGAAAAGACCGCACTGTAAAGTGATGTCGGCATCAGGTGGCCCCTGGAGAGAGGCTCCTCAGGTTCTGTGCTTGTCCCCGTTTATGGTAGCGACACTCACATGTCCCTCCCAGACATCCTGAGGTCCAGGCCTGAGTCCCAGGGCAAGCATCGGGCTGCATCAGGACCGGATCTTGGCGCCCGACCGTCCAGTGGAGCCTGTGATCCAGCTCCCGGTCCTGCTTGCTGCCCTGACCCGTTATGGTTTGATTTGATTTCTGTCTGAATTGGTAGAACTCGTACGTTGTTTTTCCTACTTTCTGTGAAATCAGTTAGGGGCGAAAAGTTTAACATGCTCAGCTGTTAACAAAAGGTAGGAGGTATAAGTCCATCCAGAGCGCCTCAGAGGAGAAACCAAGCAATCCAGCTCTGGAAAGGACTCTTAAAGCCCCTCAGAGCTCAGCCTTGCACTGCCGTCTGCCTCGGAACCCAGGTCCTGGGGGTGCATCCCATTTCCCCACATGCACAGTCTGGCTTAGACCCCCTCAGAGCTCGGCCCTGCACTGCCCTGTGCCGCAGAGTCCAGGGCCTGGGGGCACATCCATTTCCTCGTGTGTACGATCCGACTTGTTCCCAGGAAGAAGAAAGGTCAGGTGAGGCCAGCAACGAGGAGGAAGACCGGAAGGACAGGAACCTCCCCGAGGACCCTGAGACCTGTCTGCAACTGAACATGGTCTACCAGGAAGTTGTGCAAGAGAAGCTTGCAGAGCTGAACCTTCTGCTGGCCCAGAACCGTGCACAGCAGGTGAGCAGGCCGTGGTGCTGACGCAGGGGGCTGCCAGCGTGCGGGGCGCCCTCACCCGTATCTGTGGCAGGAGCTCACCCCACCTGTTGCAGGAGGAGCTCACTTGCGGTCTGGCTGGCTCCAAAGGCCCAAAGGAGAAGAGCAGAAAGAGCCTCCCACCTCACATGTACATCGGGCATTTTATGAAGCCCTACTTCAAGGACAAGGTCACTGGTGTGGTAAGTGGGAGGCCAGCATAGCTGCGGGAGCGCCTGAGTCCCCTCTCTGCTGAGAAAACCTTTCAGGATGCTGCTCTCCGGCCTCCTGATGCCACATCCCTCCTCCTCCCCCAAGCCCCCTAGCCCAGGAGGTCGCAGCTTCACTCCCCAGAGCACTTGCAGAGATCATGCCCTCGGGTTGATCCTTTTGGTCCTGTCCACCCACATTATAGTGTCCCAGTGTCCCGCAAAGCTCCCATGCCAGCACATGATACAGTCCCATCTTGGGCTTGGGGAGAGGGTGGGCTCTATACCACAGTGGTGACACACTGGTCTCTTGACAGGGACCCCCAGCCAACGAGGACATGCGGGAAAAGGCAGCCCAGGGCGTCAAGTCCTTCGAGGAGCTCCTGGTGACCAAGTGTAAGTGCTTATCTGATGTCCCAGGGCCCTGCAGTATCTGAGGCTGGGCAGAGGAGCCATCCAGGTGTTGCCACCTCTTTGTGTGGGGTCTGAGCCCAGGGTTGTGGCATGGGCTCTGAGCATGCATCTTGCAGGCACCTCCCTCACTCCGCACCGTCTCATCCCCTCAGGGAAGAGCTGGGAGAAGACCCTGCTCAGGAAATCCGTGATGAGTGACCGTCTGCAGCGTCTGCTTCAGCCAAAACTGCTTAAGTGAGTCTGGACGTGGCCCGCCATCCACACTGCCTCCCTGCTGGCCCAGACTTGGGAATGCGGGTGCCAGCGGTCGTCCCTTCCAAGGAGATGGCCGCTGGTGTGCACGCCTGCTCGGCTCAGAGCGGCTGCTCTTAGTCCCGTGCCCCAGGCGGTGGTTCTGGCCCTGCTTTCTCCTGTGGTCGGAGTTGGCCCCTCCTCGTGTGTCGGCGTATCCGCTGGACACACTGATGCAGTGGGACACGTTTGTTGGGTGCTGGAGAGTATGTGGGGGCGCTGGGTCATGTTTGATGGCACGTTGTCTCGTGGATGCTGATACACTGTGTTGAGCCTGTTAGTCGACTTTCTTGTTCAGCGCATTGTGTTGACACATCCCGTTTAGCTGCATGATGCGTGTCGGTGCGTCGTGTTGGTTTACATGTCGCGTCTCTTGGTGGGTACTCTGTGTCACGGGTGCCAGTGTTTTATACACCCGTCTGTTGGTGGGTGAGCTGTGTCCTGTGCACCTGGTGGTGTGTGTTCCAGGTCTGTCCAAGCACCGTGTTGTCTGTTGGGGTCGGCACACCGTATGTCGTTTGTTGGTGCTCTGTAGTGTGTGTTAGGGCGTGCTGTCTGTCGGCACACCGTGGTGTCTGTTGAAGGAACGTACTGCAGCAGGTCAGTAGGCTGAGGCTTGCTAGCTGGTTCAGTGCACCGTTTTGCCATCTAATTAGGGACCTGGGCAACGAGAGGGACAATGATGTGACTGAGACACTCGCAGGTCTAGGTGACTGTCTTCACCATGGCAATGTGTTCCCGTGCCCTGTCCAGGTCTCCCCTCGTGGCCGTGAGCTGGAGGTGGAGAGTCATTAGATTGGTTCCTGGTCTGGAAGGATAGACAGCTAGTCAGATGACGTCCTGGTTTGCCTCCCTCCACCAGCTTGTTCTACAGCTTGGGGACATGACAGGAGGAGTAGACAACATAGGTCAAGGCCATTCCATGGCCTGGGACGTGTGTGTTGACTGTATCAGGTGACCATGGACATCAGAGGTAGCTAATGGCCGGCCCCTGATAACATAGACTGCTGAGTGGGAGAGGCTGCAGTGGGTGAGTCGCGCAGGCAGAGTGGAAGTGAGTCCTGGCTGCATTGAGTCACATGTCACCGCCCCAGCTGCGTGCTTCCAGTTCTGCTCCTGCCCAGGCCTGCAGAGACTTAGTGCCGGATGTGCTGGACACGTGGCTGTCAGATCCCAAACCCCTGCCCACCACTGCCGAGGAAAGCACCAGTGCGGGTGGGCCGTGGCCCTGAGTGACCCTTTCTGCTCCTCTGGCCTCAGGCAGGAGTACTTACAGCAGAAGCAGAGCCGCGTCACCAGCAAAATGGAGAAGAAGGTCCTAGAGAAACAGGTCCGAGACACAGAGAAGGAGATTGAGGACATCCAGTGAGTCTCCCAGGGGACCCTAGTGTCGGGGGAACTAGGTGTCCTATGAGATGAAACCCTGGTTTGGAGGACTGAGGTGTGACATGGGGCTGGGGGAACCAGGAGGCTACAAGTCCGGTGAGATGGGGCCATAGTGGGACAAGATTCCAGGGACATGCGATCTGTTAGGACATCCAGGCAGCCCTGTGGAGGAACATGCGTGGAACTGGGACCCTGTGGCGTCCTGGGGGGATGGGAGTGGTCAGGAAAGATGATCATTCCTCGATTCCTCCAGCCAGCTCCCGGAAGAGGTTCTTTTGGGCAACCGACTGGACAGCCACGACTGGGAGAAAATTTCCAACGTGAACGTGAGTGCAGGGGAAAGCCACCCAACACGCCCGTGCTGTTTTCCAGGGTTGGGGCTAAACAAGGGAGGTTGCCTTCAGTGGCAGCATTGAGGTGCCAGCTCCTGTTTGCTGTCGCTCCTGTCGCTGACGTGCCCCTTGGCCAGACCTCAGCTCTGGCCTGTACCTACCCAAGCAGCCATAGCCTAGGATTCCTGGGAAACAAGGAGTCTTCTAGATGCAGCTGTAGGGCTCCGAGCTCTGCCTCCCCAGCCGTACAGAGCCAGCCTCCTGGCCAGAGACCCCGCTTTCTTCTCACTGGACACGGGGCTTTGGGGGGCACACACATGTGGACAGATGTTTGGCTCCCAGAGAACTTGTGTCCTGTGTGGTACAGTTTGAAGGCGGCCGCAGTGCAGAGGAGATCCGAAAGTTCTGGCAGAATTGCGAGCACCCGAGCATCAACAAGCAGGAGTGGAGCCGAGAGGAAGTGGAGCAGCTGAAGATAGTGTCAGCCCAGCATGGCCACCTGGGGTGGCAGAAGATCGCCGACGAGCTGGGGGTGAGGTGCCCGGCAGTCCTGTTGTCCTCCCCGCCCGCACGGCTACTTTGAGCTGGGTGGCACTTGAAGGTTTTAAGCCCTGGCCTTCGGAATCCTTGAGCCACTAGCAACCTGCCGCTTGAGCTTCCTCTGCGTTGTAGTGGGTCCACTGCAGTTTGTCCCTCCTGGTCTCTCTCCTTGTCACCCTGGGCTCAGAGGAGTTCATACCTGGGGCTTCAGGGGCAACTTCGAGTTTCTCTCGGGCTCTCCCTCACTTCGCTGTGAGGACTGAGTCCCTCTCATTTCGTGGTGAGCCCACACCCAGTACGAGTCCGCCTCACTGACTCCTGAGGGGCGTCTACACTTGCAGTTCTGACTGCCTCTTTGAACCGGTTTGCTGAGGACTGTTTCCTCGTTACTTTAGGTTAAAGATGAGAGCACACGTTGGTTTTTCACTCAACAGTTGACACGTGTTTTGAGTTGTTAGTTGCAAAGCCCTGGTGCCGCTGCAGTCTTCCACGTCCTCCCTGGGTTCTTGTTTCCCTTTCCCTGTACGCCTCTGAGCTCGCTGTGGCTCAGTGCTGGCTGCCAAGCCACGTGGGCTTCTGCCCAGCTCTAGTGTAGACTCAGATGACCACCTCCGACTCCAAGATTGACAGAAAGGTGTGCTTTCTTCCTCATGTGCTGCAGGCAGAGGTGGTGGGGCTTGACTTGACTCTGCATGTGGTGACTCCCGTGTCCTGACATCTCTTCACTGCTCTCCCTGTGCCCTGCCAGACCCAGCGCAGCGCCTTCCAGTGCCTGCAGAAGTTCCAGCAGCACAACCAGGACCTGAAGCGGAAGGAGTGGACGGAGGAGGAGGACAGCATGCTCACGCAGCTGGTGCAGGAGATGCGCGTGGGCAGCCACATCCCCTACCGCAGAAGTGTGTCTTCCCCTGCCCGCCCCCATGTGCCCTGAGTGCATCCTCTCACCCCACCCCAGCCAGCACACCCTCGTGTCCCCCGCTCCCCGCTGTGAACCTTACCATGGACGTGTGTCCACACCCACCTCCCCATCCCTTACTGCGCAAGTGCAGCCCTCCACCGCACCACGTCCCCCTCCTCAAGGGTGTGTGTCCCTCACTCCCTCGTCCCTACCACACGAGTGGACGACCACCCCACCCTCATCCCCAGCTGCAGGAATGAGTGTCCTCCTACCCGTCGGGAAGAGGGAGGAAGGATGGGGGGGCTCTGTCTCAGTGGCGAGAGCAGGCTAGCGGCCTGGCATAGGTGCAGGGGGACAGCTCTTTAGGCTCATCCTGTGCCCACAGTTGTCTACTACATGGAAGGGCGGGACTCCATGCAGCTCATCTACCGCTGGACCAAGAGCCTGGACCCCCGCCTTAGGAAGGGCTGCTGGGCCCCCGAGGAGGACGCTGTGAGTGCTGCCTTGCTCCCCTGGGTCCCAGGAGCACCGCGTGGAGGCCTTGGGAACCACAGCCTGCCCTCTGGAGTGGACGCTCTCCCTGTGGGCATCCATGGCTGTGCTCACAGCAAGCTTTCTGCACATCCTCTGTTCTAGAAGCTGCTTCAGGCTGTCGCCAAACATGGGGCCCACGACTGGTTTAAGATCCGGGAGGAGGTGCCAGGCCGCAGTGATGCCCAGTGCCGGGACCGGTGAGTGGGTGCGCCCCGCGGGAGCTGCCACTGGCTCAGACCAGCCTGGACAGTGGCCTCTGCTGATTTCCTGTCCTTAGGAAGTGATGTGGCCGTGGGACTCCGTCCTGGATGACTCCGTGTGAGGAAAGAGGGCTGTTTCCAAGGCAGTCTTTCTCCTCGGTGTCCTCGAGCCCGTCGCCTCAGGGCCTCTCCGGAGCTGCTCGGCCGGGTCCTGGGCCAGCTGCTCCCATTCTCTTTCCTCTGTTCACAGTCTTAGAAAGAGATTCTTGGAGCTAAAATTCTTCTAATGTTCAATTCAGCCAATTCGTGTATTCGCTGAGCTGTGCGTCCCCCTGACATAAACTGTCTGGCTAGGGGCTGGCACTCCCCTCCACCTTGGCCCTGCCCCTTGCCTCGCCTCCGGCCCCGGACAGCCCCGACGACCACTCACTTGCTCTGTCCCTGGGTTTACTGGTTCTGGACATTTCCCAGACGTGCAGTCAGTCAGTGTCCTTTTCTAATTGTGTTTTTGTTGCTGTAGGTCTTATTTTCAGGTATCTGTCATGCCCTGGTTCTTTCTAGAGTTAAATAGCTTGAATCTGTTGTACACAGGGCGCTGTGAGCAGACCTGACTCCATAGTAGCTGTAGCAGCACTCCATGGTGTGGATGGACCGCACTTGTGTGTCCACCTGGTGTTCTCTTGGACAGATAAAGCACATACATGTGTCCGTTCATGAGCGTTTGTACTGTTTCTCCTGTTTGGCCGGTGGCTGTAAGTTAACTGCTGTGACCTTCGTGTAGAGATCGTGTAGACCTAAGTTTACCTTGCTGACACACTAGGGAAGGACTGACGGCAACAGTTTACGCCCCTGAGGGTCCACGGTGTCTGCCTGTCCCCACGGCCCCCCCGGCACTGACTAACCCTGAGTGCCCGCGGGCTGCGTGGAGCCTCGTGGTTTGGATGACCCTTGGCGTCAGCACGGCTTCGATCCTTGCCAGCCCTCTGTTCATCTTGAGCTCGGACTGTTTCGACACTTTGCCTTTCTTTTGCATTACCTTCCTTTTGGACCCCATGTCTGGCTGTCAGTCACTTGTCAGAGACGTGATCTGCACGTGTCCCCTGTGATTGTCACTCTCTTGACAGTGTATTTTGAAGCCGGAAAGTTTTGCATGGGCGCAAAGTCTAGGTTGTGTGCTCATGTCTACAGGCTTTGACTGACTGACCCACTGCCATCTGGTTGATTGTGGCTCCTGGTGGCCCTACAGGACCGGCTAGAACTGCCCATAACGTCTCTGTGGCTGGAATCTTTACGGAAGCAGCCCGCACCTTCTTTCTGTGGAGCAGTGGGTGGATTTGAACCGCTGTCACTTTTGGCCAGTAGTCACATGCATTTACTGCTTTGCCAACCAGGAACCTCCGGCTGTCTCGGCTCACCAGCTCTGCTCTGTGCTTTCCCCTGAGTTTCCAGCTTGGAGTCTTTGTGCCCCTTTGCTCCGCTCTGTGACTGTGGTGGGAGGTAGGAGCCAGGTTGGAGGTGACACTTGTCTCACCACCTTCTGTTGTGAGACACGTCTGTGCTGAGCTGTCTCGTTGCCCGTGCTGACCAGTGGTGTGAGGATTTAGTTCTGGACTCTGGCCTGTCCTGTTGATCTCTGCGTGACCTCCTACCAGACGCCCTGTCTCTCCCACATTGCCCGCTGGGAAATGTGTCGTTCAGCACTGATCTTTCGCTCCAGGGTCACTACTCCCACACGACTCTGCCTTCTTGACAGCATGCGTGCTCGGCCTCAGGCTTGTTCGTCAGGTCTGGCACAGAGACCTGGAGTCTTCATCCCGGAGGAGCTGAGCCTCCCGGCTCTTGCACGGCTCCCAGCCAGGCTGGGCCAAGCACAGGGTCCTTTCTCCCTCCTTGGTTTCACAACTGGTCAAGGCACTCAAACACCTGGTGTCCACTGAGATGTGGAGGACTCGTGATGTCTGTGCGTGAGGGCTGTGTCCCCAGTCAAGGCTGTGAACCTAGGCTGGGTCCTGGGGAAGTCCTCGTGGACTTGGGATCCTGCCAGGGGATCTGAAAGGATTCCCTGTGTCCTCAGGGCGTAGAGCAGCCCCTCAACACCACGCTGAGGTTGGTGCTCAACATCTGGCTTCGAGGCCGTCCCTGGGGTCAGTGCCCAGCATGGGGACGGGGTGGGGGGACCCCCCTCAGCGCTTCTCGCCCCACAGAGAGGGGGCAGTGAAGGACACAGCGTCACATGGGACATGTCCAGAGTGGGGGCAGGGAGGGCTCCATCAGCGTCACATGGGGATCACCTCTGCCCTCCATGCAGCTCTCCTTCCTGGGTGCTCCTGGTTTTGTGGGAGTGGGGGCGTCATCCTCAGCCCTCGTGTACAGGATGTGTCTGCATCTTAGTTCGCTGGCTGAGTCGGAACAGTAATAGTGGAGGATCGGAGGAAGTGCCTGTCTGCCCACTGTGGTCCCCCACGCCATCCCTATACTGTCCCTTCTGGAAGGTGACACCAAGGTTGCCCACTGCTGTGCTGTGACCTGAACTTGGGGCCAATGCCCCTTCCTTTTGGACCTTAGCCGCTGAAGGACTGGAGCTGTGACTGCCCTGTGCTGCTCTGTCCCCGGGGGAGTGCGGGCAGCGGTGTCACTCACCTACCCCGTCTCCATCACTCACAGATACCTGAGAAGGTTGCACTTCAGCCTCAAGAAGGGACGATGGAACCCGAAGGAAGAGGAAAAGCTGATCGAACTGATAGAGAAGTACGGGGCTGGTGAGTTGTGTGGGGCATGTGCTCTGGCCCCCGTGCAGGACTGCAGGACCCCCTGAAGGCTTGTGGCCTTGCCCGCATGCTGACCTCACGGGCCCAGGCCATCCCTGAGGTCATCATCAGTGCAGACAGTGTAGTTCAACCAGGTCTCTAAGGAAATGGCAGGTATTAGGAAACGCAGATGCCAGCCAGCTGCCCAGGGAGTGGGGAGGTGCACTGCCCTCATGCATCTGCCAGTTCTGTGGACATTTCTTTACCAGGAAAGTGAGGCTTTTTAGAAACTTTGTGAGTAGTGAACTCTGTTCTTCCTCCAGTGTTTCCAACTGAGTACACAGGTGTTCTCTGTGCCTCACGTGTCTGTCGTCCATGATCACGTGTCTGCCCCTGTGATCACATACCCCTCACGTGTGGTGGTGGGCGTCAGGTGGAGCTCTGTCTCTGCCCCAGGGCCGTGCTGAGCCTGTCACTCTGCTGTGTAGACGCCCCCCCAGGGCCGTGCTGAGCCTGTCACACTGCTGTGTAGACGCCCCCCCAGGGCCGTGCTGAGCTTGGTATTCTTTTGTGTAGACACACTGCCTGAGAGCTGCTCCGAGCTAGCTCTTCTATTCTCTAGACACTGTCTCAGGGGTCGCACTGAGCTGGCCCCTCTGTAGCTGAGGCTTGGCCCCTGTCTGTGGTGTGTCCTCACTGGCTGAACGGGCAGAGCAATGCCGCGAGCCTGCAGGGGGCATTCCAGTCCATGCCGGACACTGTCCTTTGGAAACATTGGTCACCATGTAGTCAAGCTCTGGCACTGTCGCAAAGTGCGCTGGCCTGAGAAGCACACGACAGGTCCAGGGGCTGTGGAATGAGCATCCTGCTGGAGGGTGGTGTCCCTCTGGGCGTGTGTTGCCTGCAAAGTCTGTGAAGGTCAGCTCTTTGGGAATCGCATCCCACACACAGGTGGTGGGTTCAGTGTACCCTCCCCTTGTTAACACCTGCTTCTCGGGACATTTAGGCCTGGGGGCTTGTGTGAGGAAGGGAGGGTCTGAAGAGTGCAGTGCAGTCACCTGAGGAGATCCCGTGTCCTCTTCCTGCTGTGGGGACTCCCTCTCGTCCTGACGGGGACTCACTCGCTCATGCTTTTGTAGGTCATTGGGCAAAAATCGCCGCAGAGCTGCCCCACCGGACAGGCTCCCAGTGTCTGAGCAAATGGAAGATCATGGTGAGGGTGAGTGCAGGGGTCCCAGCCCCTCAGGGGGTGAGGGGGGGAGGCATGCATGGACTCTGACCACAGCAGCTCTTCAGGGGCTGAGCCAGGTGGATGACCCCCGACCCATGTGGAGGGGCCGGGCCTTCCCCTCCCAGTGGTCTCAGGGACCCTCTCTCCACAGAAGCAGCAGCGTCGCCAGCAGAGGCGGCGAAGGCCCCGGCGCTGTGTGCAGTGGAGCTCCAGCAGTGAGGACAGCGGGGACAGTCGGGATGGGGACAGCAGCAGCAGCGAGGATGCAGAGACAGAGTCGGAGGACAGCCTGCCGGTCAGGCGGGGAGGCAGAGCCCTGCCGTCGACCCTGTATGTGGTGCCGCACATGGACCTGTGGGTTCCTGCCAGGCACAGTGCCCCAGAACAACGGAAAGGGGGCACATGGGGTTGGCCGGGTCAGCAGAAGGCTGAGGCTGCCACAGCCCCGGGCCCCAGAGCAGCCACAAGTCGGGCTTCAGGGGAGCACAGCCGTGTCCAGAGCCCACGTTCAGCCGACAGCCAGAAGCTGGGGGAAAAGGTATGTGCTATTTCCAGGTCCACACAGGCCACCAGCCTGGGCCAACCAGTGCACTTTGGGGCCCAGACCTGCACCTCTGAGCCCCTAATGCCAGTGTCCAAGGAGGGTACCAGTCTGAGGCCTCCACCGCAGCTGACCTGCTTGACAAGCCTCGGGACCAGGTCACGTGGTCAGACCAAGTGTAAGGTCTCTGTCCACCGGGTGGGCCTCCAGCTTTAGAATTGGCTTCCGCAGGCATGGTCGGGGCTGTGCTGATGTCCAAGAGGACGGGCGCCATCAAGCGTCTGGGAGCTGGAGCTTCTCCTCCTCCTCCTCCTCCTCCCAGCCCTGCGCTCGGGCATCTCAGCTGCTCTGTGCCGTCGGCCTGAGGGGCTGGCCTCATCAAGCAGCGTCCTGGGTCAGGGTGGTCCACCTGGCACCTCTCCCACAGTGAAGCTGGCTTTAGGCAGCGTTTCCCACACTTGAGCTTGCCTGCCGCTGGCCCAGCTGCCCACACCTGACCAGTCATTCGTACTTTCCTCAGGAGGTGCCCCTGGAGGCTGTGCTGCAGGTGCTCCAGGCCAACACAGCTGCCCAGGGCCAGGGGCTGGTGAGTGCCCGGCCCGCCCACACCCTCCCCCTCTCTGTCACGCGCCCCTGAGCACGTGTGAACACTCACTAGGTTGTTAGCACACCGTGTGCGTGCATCCACGTAATTCCACACAGGAACACTCGTGCACATGTGCATATGAGAGCGTGGATGAAAACACGCAGACATACTTACAAACACATGAACATTCACTTGAACATGTGGACGCGTGTGCATACGTGTGAACCGTGTATGTTGCCGTCACCTGCCCCCAGCACCCTCCACCTGCTCCCCCGTCCCTCTCCCCCACCTGTGCTGCTCTTCGCTCCCATCCATCTGTACCCAACATTTCCTCCCTTATCTTCATCATGGTGCCTTCCTCCTGCAGAAAAAAGAAAGGCCACCTGCCCAGCCCATCCTGGCACCAGGGCCCAGCACAGAGGCAATCCCTGGGCCCCATGGCCAGCTCCCGCGGCCCGTCTCAGTCCTAGATGGGCAGCGTCACCAGAGACAGAGACACACCCTGCAGAGGAGGCTTCTCCTCCGCCGGCTCCTGATGGCCGTGGGCCCATGGGTGGGCGACATCACCCTGTCCTGCACGCAAGCATCCCGGAGGCCTGTGGCAGTGCAGACAAGAGGTACCTGTGGGACCCAGTCCTACCTCCAGCAAATGTTGTGCCTGGAAGGGACCCCATGTGTGGTGGTAGGGGTGGTTCTGAGGAGCTGGCCAAGCCCTTCTTCCATCAGTTCTTGGAAGGCCACCCCAAGACCAGTGTCTCTATGCTGCCAGGCTGAGGTTCCCCAGGGTGGTAGGAAAGGCCCACCAGCTGGAGAGGCATTCTGTGGGAGTCGTGTCCCTGACCTCTGTCCCCTGTCCCCAGCTGATGTCATCAGGAGGCAGCTGCAGGGCGCCCACCTCTCAAGCACACCAGTGTTTACCCTGCTGGTCCAGGTGAGACGGGCGGGGAGAGGGGGCTGGACGGGGTGCTAGGAGGCTCCCCTGCTGTGTGTGGCTGACAGTGGGCATATGCAGCACTCACCCTCACAAGTACTGTCGTCTCGTTTGGGCCACTGAGAACCGAGCCCCCAGCCCGAGGCTAGGACTCAGCCCAGTAGTGAATAGTAAGGTGCCAAAGTCTGAGGGACACAGGGCTAGGGTCACACCTTGGTGCTCCCCGTAACCGCAGGAAGGCTCCTGTCCACATGAGGTGAGGCGTGTGGCCTTAGGTCTGGGCTGCCGATGGACTGGCCCAGAGGTTCCAAGGCTCGCACATGGGCATACCCTGTGTATCCTGCCCACCCCAGCTTTTCCAGATCGATGCTGACGGCTGCATGGAGGTCATCCGGGAGAGGAAGGCCCAGCCACCAGCCGAGCCGCCCCATCTGCAGGTAGGCCGAGACAGCCCGTCCACGCCCCTGCGTGAGGGTGGTCTGACTTGCAGGTGCGGTCTCCTGGAGACCATGCTGCTCTTGTGGGCGGATCTCACCTGGTGGCCCCCTCGGCGCAGCCCTCCTCGGTGCAGCTGTCACTGTCCAGGTCCTCCAAGAGAGCTCTGCTGGGCCAGCAGCTCATACGGGGCAGTGAGCCAGGACTCTGGTCTGAGGCCCTTGTCCATCCCTGTGCTGCCCTGTGCTTACGTCTCAGCCCTCATGCGGGCACTATGCGGACGTGAAGGGAGAGGCTGAGAGGTGGCCAAGCCACAGCTCTGCTCAGGTGTCCCCCTGCATATGAGGGTGAGCAGGCCTCGGTGTGGTAGACACTAATGTCCAACTTTGCCCTTCTTTTCAGGTACCCCTGAGTGCCCAGCACTGCCCAGGTACAACCCTGCTTGCCTGTGTCCACCCTGTGGTCTGATGGGGCAGCCAGTGGGGACATGATTCTGGAGAGGTCAACTCCAGGAGACCACTCCCCAGGCTGCAGAGTTGTGGGTGGTGGTGGTGTGAGCCAGCTGAGGGTGGTCCTGTCTAGAATGAGGGTCAACAGATGTGCTGGGCCTCCTGGGGCTGGAAGGAGCTGGCCGTGACAGAGAAGGAATAAGGCTCCAGGCTCAGGTCTGCTGTGGCTCTTCCCTACAGGTGGTCCTTCCTCGGCTGCTCCAGGGCAGGAACCCGCAGGGCAGGCCACTGGCCCCACTGGCGGCAGGAGGCCAGGGCCCTGGCAGCCGGAGTCTGCGGGGCCACAAACCACCAGTGGCCCTCGGCCCAAACCCAAGACCGTGTCCGAGCTGCTGCGAGAGAAGAGGCTGCGGGAAGCCCGGGCCAAGAGGCCCATGCTGAGCCCCAGGGCCCTCCCGCTCCAGCTGCTGGTCTCACCTGACGTGCCCCTGCCCCATCTGCAGACGGCCCCCCAAGGATCCCCAGCTGCTGGGCTGACCATCTGCAGCCCTGCACTCCCAGGACCTAGAGGCCCTGTGGAGGCCAGCCCAGGCCCTGCTGGCCCCTTGCAGGGGGCACACGCCCTAGTCAAGGAAGAGGGACCTCAACCTCTTACCCTGGAGGCCACAGCCGGTCCCGCCACAGGGGCCAGCCGTCCAGCACCAGGCCCCAGCCAAGTATTTGTCCTCAGCCAGCCCAGTAACCCAGGGCAGTCCCCGGCCCCCAGCACATCGCAAAAGCAAGGTCTGCCCCATCTACCGCCCCTCCTTCCTGCCTCCCCCAGCCCTGCACAGCTGCCCGGCCTCAACCTGGTAGCGACCCCAGTGCCAGCCAGTACTGCCCTGCCTGTCACCTGGGTACTCACACCTCAGGGCCTGCTGCCCGTTCCCGTGTCAGCCATGGTGGCCGTGACTCCCGCCCCTCAGCATGTCCAGACCTCTGCCGCTGGGGTGCCTCCCACCCTCCACAGTCCTGCAGTGGCGAGAGGGGACTTGGTCTCCACACCAGGACAGCTTTCTTCCCCTGGAGCACCCCAAGGGGTTGGAGAGACTTCTGTGCCCCAGCTACCTCCCTGTGATGGCAGCGGTCCAGTGGGGACACGTGGGGACTCAGAGACAGCGGACCCTCTGTCCTCGGACAAGCCACCCTCACCCCAGCCGGGTCCCAAGAAAGGCCTCCTGGACATGAGCCTCCTGACTGCAGAGGCCACAGAGGCCACACAGACCTGGCTGAGGGGGCACCAGGGAGGGTGTGTGTCACCCCTGGGGAGCAGGCTGCCCTACCAGCCCCCGGTGCTCTGCACCCTGAGGGTGTTATCCAGCCTCCTGGTGCACAAACGAGCCCTCGAGAACAAGGCTGTCACCCTGGTGTCCAGCAGTGTGACGGGAAGCAGGGGGGGATCCCTGGCTGAAGCCCTGCAGGCTGCCCGGGAGCTGGTGCGGACACAGTTGGGGGACAGCCCAGCCTACCTGCTGCTCAAGGCCCGCTTCCTGGCCACCTTCTCCCTACCTGCTCTCCTGGCCACCCTGCCCCCCCATGGTGTCTCCACTACCCTGTCAGCTGCCACCCAGCTAGAGAGCGACAGTGACCCAGGGGAGCCCGAGTCCCCTGATGAGGGCCACATGGCCAGCAACCCTCCAGAGGGGCCACAGGTGAGGCAGTGGGCACAGGCAGGACCAGCCGCCATGCTCTTGTGTGCGTGCATGTGTGTGACTGAGTGCAGGGGGTGCGTGCAAGCACAGGTGGAAGTGGTGAGGATCACCCCGGAGGGCCGGCTCCTGGGTGAAGAGGAAGTGATTGGTTAGCGCTGCTCGTGCTGGACACGGAGCCCCGCCTTCTGGAGCTCCTCCCCACAGAAACCCCAATCCCAGCTGTCTGGGCCATCCATCCTGGGGGGTGGGGGGGACTCAGTGTTCCTGGATTCCTTGGGAGGCCATTTCTGGCCCAGATGTTTGGGGGCTGGGGCTTGCACCCCCCTTTGGGCTCAGTCCTGCCGGGGGTGTTAGATTGGACATGATGGCGAACAGCCTGCCTGGACTCTTGTCAGTTGACTTCAAATTTGGAGGGTAGATGCCCCGTGGTAGCCAGGTGTGTCAGTGTTGAGGACACGTCATCGGGGCTTGTTGGGGGGCTACTGAGAAGCCAGGGTCTGTGTGCAGGACCCTCTTGCCATGACCCCCTCCAAGGGCCAGTAGCACCAGCCATGCCTGGCCCCTCTGTGAATATGATGTTGGGGGGCTCTTGAGCTAAGCTAGCAAGTCACCCTCACACCAGCTTCTGTCTTAGGCAGCGCCAGGCCCCAGCCAGGCCTCCGTCCCCTGCTGCCCCGACACCCTGGGCGACCTCCGTGTGCTCAGGTCACGGCACAGCCGGAAGCGGAGACGGCTGTCCTGAGGGTGAGTAGGGAGGCCCTGCCCCAGAGGGGAGAGTATGTGTGCAGTGCGTCCCCAGTGCTGCTGGTGCTCACCCCACCAGGACCTCCACTCAGCGTGAGAGGGTCCTGCTCCTGTCTGTCCCTGAGGCCAGCTTCCTGTCCACCAGATCTCCGCCCACCAGTCATTGTTCATGTGCCTTGTCTGTCCCTCTGATGGCCTCATTCCCTGACCTGCATTATACCTCGTGGAGCTTGGGCCCAGATTGGGCTTGTCACCACCCAAACCCAGACAGCACTAGATGCTCTGCAGCCCTACGTCCAGTCAGCAGGAGTCCAGGAAAGTCAGCTGCCGAAGACTGCCCAGAGACGGACATGCTAAGGGATTAGCCTGTGTCCCTAAACACGCCTTCAGTGCGAGGGCCCACAGACCTGCCACTGCTGCCCATCCTGATACCCTGGAGCCAGCCCCCCATCACTCCTGCCCTCACCCATTCCCCGAGGCCAGCTCCCCCATCCTTTCTGGCACAAGGCCTGGAGTTCTCCCTGGCTTACATGTCCTCAAGCACGGGTCCATCTGGGAGGACCTACCTGGCCCAGAGCCCCCGTCTACTCAAAAGACAAAGCTGACTGCCCTGTCCCCTTTGATTCATCCCCACCGTGGGGCTCTGGCCCTAAGTGCAAATTTCAACACTTGAGAAAATAAAAGGATGTTATATTTTTATTGGAAAGCTGCAGTTTTTCCCCCACACTGTGCTAGCCTCAGAAGAGCTGGGCTTGGGGTACCCGCATGGGGCTGGGGTGCCTGCATTGGGGTACCCGCACGGGGCTTGGGGTGCCCGCATGGGGCTGGCAGTGGCCCCTCAGAGCGAGATGGACCTCCAGCCTGTAGAGAAGATGAACTGGTCTGTTCACACAGCATGAGCTGAGCCGGCCCACTACGTGAGTGCCAGCATAGCTTTGAGACGGCTTTTGCCCCTTGACTCATTGGTGCCAGCAGGTTAGCTCCGGAGATGGCAGCCATGGCCAGCTGACCGCCGCCCAGCCCTGCACCAGCCTCGGGCTGCTGTGCCGAGCCAGCATTGCGTTTGCGGGCAGGTGTAGAGCTGGCTCGCCGACGTCTTCATGGGCTCGTTCTCAGTGCCGAGCCCTGCTGACAGCACGCCCAGGGTGTATGGGGTGGAGCCGCGGCCCTTTTCAGGAGCACTCCGGCTCCACGCCTCGAGTGTGCCCTTCTGGCAGGCCAAGGCATAGTGTTGGTTGCCAACACTACAGCTCAAAAGCATTAGTTCTTCGGCCTTACTCATCAGATAATTAAAATACCACAGCTGTGGCCGGGCCCACGTGAGTCTCAAAGTAACATTTTTGCTCTTCAAAGATGACCCTTTACTGTCACTGACCTGTCGCTGGAAAACAAAGCCGACTAGTCCCTCATCGCTGGACAGCGTCCCCATACACTTCTTGTCATGGTAGACTGTGTTGGCACCAGTTGGCTATCATTCAGGTCCTGAGTGTTGCCAACATTGGAGACGCTGGTTCAGGGGCTTTCTGACACCTGATAAGAGTGTGAAGATGAGGCTACAGTGTGCGAACTATCTGGGGGACACCACTGCTGTCCTCGGTCTAAGAACCCGGTTGGGGTATCAGGACCCAATACATGGCTTGTACCATGGCACTCTCGGGACTTGTGTCCATGGGACGAGAGCACAGCACCCCCTTACCCAGCTGGGCTCCAAGAGCCAAACAGGAAGAACACAGGAAGACCAGGCCAGGGAAGGCCTGGTAGCAGGGACCCAGTGAGGGGAAGGGTACCAGATGCTGGGGACCCTGACAGCACAGGAGTACTGGGATAGGGGAGAGGTGTGAGCAGCAGACCTACCAAGGGAGGGATGGGCAGTAGGACCCTGTCCAGCAATGGAGGGGTGGGGGCAGTGGGCCCGATTGAGGGGTGCTGCAGGGAAGGCAGCAGGAGAGGCCTGCTCTGGCCCCAGCCCTTCTGTGGTGCCGCCCACCTTTTCCCAGAAGCCGTTGCGTCAGGACCCAGTTGACAACCCACACTGGATGAACAGCTGGCCTCGGGGTCCCCAGATCCCAACAAGTGGCATATGGCCTGCCTGCTGCCAGCAGCCCTTCCAAAGCCTATTCACGGGCCTGAAGGGCCTCTGAGTCCCAGGGCATGTGGGTGGGGAAGTCAGTGGATGAGATGGTTGTATGGGGTCCGGTGATGCCCCAGGAGGTGTGGAGCACCCGTGGACCTTGGCATCTGGACTCATTCTGTCCTGCCAGACCCTCATTCACCAGTGGAACATTAGCTACAGAGGCTTCCCTGCTGGAGAAGTTTCTGGAAGGGGCAGCCTATGTCTGGGCACAGTGGCCCTGGGAGTCTGTCTTCTCTGACCTCAGTCAGCAGGTGGCGCTGCCCAGGAGCCCCATGGAGAGCAATAGGAGGCTCCAGCACCCTCACTGCTCCCACTTCCCCTGGGGGGTGAGCTGGGCAGGCCCTGTCCCTGTCCGGGAGCAGCACCCAGCAGGAAGTCGAGCGCCTCTGCTCCACCCTCCCAGGGCCCCAGTCAGGGCATCAGACAGTCGGCCGTGCAGAGAGGACCGGAGGCGGCCGCCCTGGCCCACAGCTCTCCGCTAGGGGGTCCAGAGAGCAACAGCTAAGTAAGTCCCCCCCAGTGCTGAGGTCCCCTGTTGCCTTACCCCTGGCCCACGGTGAGAGCTTGGTCCTTCATCCACGAACTATGGGGCTGGTCAGGCCAGGAGCATCCTGGGGGCCAAGATGGCACTGCCAAAGCCTCTGGGCAGAAGGCATCTTAAAGCCCTGCTCGCAGTGCCCCACCCTGGAAGCAGCCCGGGTAACTAGTATCTGGGACTGGGACTCTGCTAGAGCATCTGCCAAGGCCGGGGTCCTGCCCCAGGACCAGCTCGGTCTTACACAGAACTCTATCCCCACAGCCAGGGGCTTCATCACCACGTCCCTGTGTCTGAACCCACAACCAGGGACTCAGATGCTCAGGACTCTGCCCCCTCACCTAGGGGTTCGTTATATGTCTAGGTGGTCTCTGTCCCCACAGCCAGGGGTTCAGTGTGAATCTGGGGGCTCTGTCCCAAAGCCTGGGGAGACATGAGCACAGACTGCTCGCCGAGCATGCCCAGGTATGGAGGAGCTGTCTGTGCAGGTGGAAAGGCTACAGTGGGGACAGCATCTGCCTAGCCCCCTGCTGTGTGGCCAGGAACCAGGACTTAACCTGGAGGAGGAGCTGCTAACAGTGGCCCGGGGCCCAGTGATGGCAGTACGGCACCATGCCCCGCTGGCCAAGGTGCACCCAGAGCCCCTTCCCATATGCCAGTGCCAGGGACAGCCGGTAGGGCCCCTTCCCTGTCTCGGCTGCTGCAGGCCTCCCGCCGCCCTGTTGCATCACTGCCGGCCGCAGATGGAGCAGAGTGGACGGGAGGCTGGTTGTCACTGTGGAGAATGAGGAAGTCCCACAGCGCTGCGGAAACAGGAGCCCACATTCCAACCCTCCCCCAAGTCCCACCAGCACGAGACACTGGGGAGGCCTGCCACCCCTCCCTCTGCGAGCAGGGTCACCACCTGCTCCAGGCGTCTGTGCAGGGCAGTGGGGAGCTCTGGAGCGCCCGGCCTTGCTGACGCCTCACCCACCACAGCCGGTGTGCCCACCACCATGTCGGACTACGAGAACGACGACGAATGCTGGAACGTCCTAGAGAGCTTCCGCGTGAAGCTCATCTCTGTCATTGACCCCTCCCGCATCACACCCTACCTGCGTCAGTGCAAGGTGCTCAACCCTGACGATGAGGAGCAGGTGCTCAGCGACCCCAGCCTGGTCATCCGCAAGCGCAAAGTGGGTGAGTGTGGCCGCTGCACCCCGGCCCCATCCCACCGTCCATCCCGCCCCGCTGGGTACCCCCCACTAGCCACCGTGTTGCAGGTGCCCTCCTGGACATCCTGCAGCGGACGGGCCACAGAGGCTACGTGGCCTTCCTGGAGAGCTTGGAGCTGTACTACCCGCAGCTGTACAAGAAGGTGACGGGCAAGGAACCGGCCCGCGTCTTCTCCATGATCATCGGTGAGGCGGGGTCGCGGGGGTCCAGGAGACGATGCAGGAAGGCCTGCTGGGGCAGTCCTGGTCCCCACCCCTCATCTCCATCAGGACTTCTGTCCATCTCACTGAGTGAATCCCAGTTGTCCGGGGCAGCAGGCTAGAACATAGATGGTCTGAGAATCCAAGCCTGTTAGGGGGAAGGAGGCTACTGAGTGAATGGAACAGGTCAGGACACATATTTGAGATGTGGGTGGTGAGGCTGGGGTCCTGAGCTGTGGGGTGGCCAGAGTGGGTCGAGGGCCACTGAGGGGTAGGGGGCTGTGCAGCAGTGGGAGGGGCAGGCCCACCCCCCCTCACCAGCCCGTGCACCTGCAGACGCCTCTGGGGAGTCGGGCCTGACACAGCTGCTGATGAGTGAGGTGCTGAAGCTGCAGAAGAAGGTGCAGGACCTGACGGCGCTGCTGAGCTCCAAGGACGACTTCATCAAGGAGCTGCGCGTCAAGGACAGTCTGCTGCGGAAGCACCAGGAGCGCGTGCAGCGGCTCAAGGAGGAGTGTGAGGCCGGCGGCCGGGAGCTCAAGCGCTGTAAGGACGAGAACTATGAGCTGGCCCTGCGCCTGGCGCGCCAGACCGAAGAGAAGGGCGCTGCCCTCATGCGGAACCGTGACCTGCAGCTGGAGGTGAGGGGGCGCAGAGGGAGGCCTGGGGTCACCAGCCAGGGAGGGGCAGGGCGAAGAGAGACACAGAGGCACAAGGGCGACCCGGGGAGGGCACAGAGGGGGGTTCAGGGAGTGGGACCCTGGACTAGGCGCCCAGGGAAGGGGCCAGGCTGGAGAGCCTGAACTGGAGAGGTGTAGTGAAGGGCTACGCTGAACGACCTGTGCTCGGGGTCCAAACTGGGAGAGGGATGCAGGCTGGGGGCCTTGAGTGCTCAGCGCAGACTGGGTGATCCTAGGAGCCCAGATTGAAGGTCTGGACTCGGTGGTCCAGGCAGGGCCCCAAGGGGGCCTGGGAGGGTGACAGTTGGAGGTTCCTGGGCCGGGGGACCTGAGAGAGGCCAAATCAGGGGAGTTCCGGTTGAAGGACGAACTTGTGGGCCTGGGCTGGGAAGTCTGCGCTGGGTGGTCCAGCCGGGGCTGCCTCCGTCTGGAAGGCCTGCAGGCAGCGCTGGGTGGCTGTGTGTAGGTGGACCGGCTCAAGCACAGCCTCATGAAGGCGGAGGACGACTGCACTGTGGAGCGCAAGCACACCCTGAAGCTGAGGCACGCCATGGAGCAGCGGCCCAGCCAGGAGCTGCTGTGGGAGCTGCAGCAGGAGAAGGCGCTGCTGGCAGTGCGCGTGCAGGAGCTGGAGGCCAAGCAGGTGGGGCCCGGGCCTGTGCCCAGGTGGCAGGGCCGAGCGTGCAGGAGGTGGGCTAAGTGTACCGGGGGCGGGGCCGAGGGTCAAGGAGGCGAGGCTGGGCTCCAGAGGGGGCGGGGCTGGGCTCCAGAGGGGCGGGGCTGATTGCATGGAGGCGGGGCTGAGCACCAGAGGGGCGGGGCTGATTGCATGGAGGCGGGGTTGAGCTCCAGAGGAGGCGGGGCCGATGTCATGGAGCCGGGGCTGAGCTCCAGAGGGGGTGGAGCTGGGGCCAAGGGGCGGGGCTGAGTGTCAAGGAGGTGGGGCTGAGCTGGGGGGGGCAGCTGAAGTCAAGGGGGTGAGGCTTATAGAGAAGGGGCGGGACTGGGGTCAAGGGGGTGGGGCTTATAGCGAAAGGGTGGGGCTGATGTCAAGGAGGTGGGGCTGGTCCAGAGCAGGGCGGGGGTTAGCGGGGTGGGGCGGGGCTGAGGGCCAGTTGGGGTGGAGTGTGTTGGGGACAGGGCTGAGGGATGTGCAAATGGGCAGGCTGAGGAAACTGAGGGAAGGGAGCTGAGTGGCCGCTGCCTGAGCAGGACAGGCCACAGGTGCTCTCCAGGTGTCTCCACATCACCCCTGCTCACAGGAAGGATGTCAGGACAAGAGTAACGGCTACATCCAGGTGCTGGAGGAGGACTGGCGTCAGGCCCTGCAAGACCACCATGAGCAGGCCAACACCATCTTCTCTTTGCGCAAAGACCTGCGCCAGGCTGAGGCCCAGCGAGCTCGGGTGTGTGGGTGGCACGTCCACCGGGTGGGGCAGGGAGACTGGCAAGACTTGGGAACAGAAGGTGCTCTGCTTGATACCCTGCTTCACACCTTCCCGAGGGCACTGGAACTGAGGTCCTTTGCCCCCAGACCCCCGTAGTACCGGGGTCCCCAGGGCATTATTTCAGCCACAGCAGCATCTCCATGGCAGGCATTAGCCGGGGCCATGCAGCCTCCCCCCCATGTCCTGTATGCCACCGAGGACCTGGGTGAGCGCTGCTATCGGTCCACAGAACGTAGCTGGGGCCATGAAGTCCCATTCTCCAGTCTTCTGCGTGTGTCAGGCTCCCTACAACATCCTGAGCTGTGGGTCCCGCAGAGCATGGACTTGGTCTGTGCAGTCCCCGCCCCACCCCAGTGCCCTGCATGCAGCTAGGGCCCTGGGCCAGGCTGAGCTGTGGGTCCCGCAGAGCACGGAAGAGAAGGAGATGTTCGAGCTGCAGTGCCTGGCTCTGCGCAAAGACTCCAAGATGTACAAGGAGCGCATCGAGGCTGTCCTGCAGCAGATGGACGAGGTGGCCATTGAGAGGGACCAGGTGGGTCATTCACACTCACGGCAGCTGTCCGAGTGCTTTCTGACCGCATGGCAATGCATGTCCTGGGACATTTGTGGCAAGACACACATCCTCGGGGCTGACAGCAGAGTAGCACCCTCGGACATCTCTGGAGCCAGAGTCTGTGGGCAGGGCCCAGCTCCCTGGACACTTGAGAGGAAGACCCACCTTGTGTCCTCTAGCTTCCTGCATTTTCTTGTGGGCCCTGGCATTCCTGGGGTCCCGAGTGTGGCAACATTGTTCCTGTCTCTGCCTCTGTCCTCCTTCTGTGTCTGTCATATGGTCAGGAGACCTGTCTCACTCCAGAATGACCTCTGGTAACCAATCCTGTCTGGAAAGACCCCATTTCCAAATAAGATCACCTTCACAGCACAGGGATGAGGAACACATCTCTGGGAGCACAATTCTGTCATCATTCACTCCATGAAGAAACATAAGTAGCTGCAGAACTGACACCCCTGCTCCCAGCCCCACTCAAAAAAGCCCACGAGCAGGACAGGCCTGTCCCAGGTGCCTCCACGGCAGTAGCAGAATGCCTCCCTTCAGAGCAGTTAGTGGGTTAGAACCATCAACCTTTTAGTAAACCACACGTAACTCCCCGTGCTACCAATGCTCCTGTAACTACAGCAAACGCAGCACAGCTCATTGCTGTGGAGTTGGAACCAGCCCAGAGCTGAACCTCCAGTGGCTTCCCAGCGGCTACGGATCACACGGGAGGAGACGGCCCATGTTTTTCATGTGGAACAGCTGGTGGATTCGAACCACATACCTTTGAGTTGGCATTGCAACTCCTTACCTGCTAGGGTGCAGATGATCTAGCATGCCCAGTCAGCCTGCTCCAGGTGTCCGCCCCCGGCTCTGCTGTGCTCTGTCCCGTCAGACTTGCTCCACACGCAGCCTTTTGAGTCCTGGGCACCCTGACCACCCAGGATGCAGCCAAGCTGCCCCTTTGTTAGCACCAGTTGGAGAATAGTTTCTGACCCTTCCCACTGATGTCCCTGCTTCAGCAGAATTCTGGAGATTCATACGACAATATGTGTCAAAGCAAGGAGTCTCAGTGGTTGTGCCACTAACCAAAGTCCATGGTTCAGACACACTTCTGCTCCAGCGGGTGAGGACACTGCAGTCTCATCTTCAAAGGAGAAGACTTCTGTTGTCAAGGGGCTCATGATTCCTGACACCTGTCCGTCGGTGTCCAAGGCTCTGAATCTTTGTTAAAGGACATGCCTGTCTGTCTTTGTCAACTTCAGCTTGTCACGTTACACATTCCACCACCAAGGCTCTTTTCTGTAGATTGCAGAGACCCTAGGGGCAGTTCTGCACTGCCCAGCAGGGCAGCTAAGAGTCAGAATTGACAGCAATGATGTGGGGTTCGTGGTGTGTGTGTGTGTGTGTGTGTGTGTGTGTGTGTGTGTGTGTGTGTGTGTGTGGTGTTTTCTTAAACGCTCAATTTGTTGCAAACCGGAGACCTCAGTTCTGGAGGCCTTTCTGGCGGGAATGGCCACTGATACAGAGAAGACGTTCTGTGTGGCTGGTGAAAACGGGCCGCCTCAGTGCTGACGGAACAAGGTGACCAGGGGTACTGGGGGCGAGGCCAGACAAAGCTGACACGTGTGTGGATGTGCAGATTTGCACAGGGACACATGAGCAGGACAGGACGCAGGGCTGCCGCACAGCCAGGTCAAGGCCTGGAGAGCCCTCCCCTCCGCAGTGTCATGACCACGCACCGTAGCCTGTGCTTTGTCCTCCAACTGACCAGAGAGGAGACGTGCCTCGCGGGGCCTCCCATCTGGTCCCTCTCACCACTGGGCAGTTCACTAGAGCTCAGAGAGTGCTGGTGGTGCAGTGGCAAGGAAGGAACTGCACTGCCAACACAAAGGCCAAGGGTTTGAACCCACCAGCTGCTCCGGCAGAGGAAGACGGGCAGTGTGACTTGCAGCCTCTGGAAGTCTGTTGGGGGGTCAGCCATAGATCTGTGCCGGCTGGGCGGCGAGAGGTCGGATGAAGTCACACTGCTGACCAGGTGTCCTGGCTGGCAGGCGCTGGCTGCCTCTGCGCTCTGGCCCACCTGCCTGTCCTCGCCCCTCAGGCCATCGCCACACGGGAGGAGCTGCACAGTCTGCACGCCAAGGGCCTGCAGGAGAAGGACGCACTGCGGAAGCAAATCCGAGAGCTGGGCGAGAAGGCAGACGAGCTCCAGCTGCAGCTGTTCCAGAGCCAGGGCCAGCTGCTGTCTGCAGAGTCCCGGCTCAGGCAGCAGCAGCTGGAGACCCTTGTCTTGGTGAGCTGGGCCCGGTGGTGGGGACACGCAGGTTGGACCCAGCCCGTGTGACTCAGAGAACCCATTCCTGAGCCTGGGTGGAGTTACCCTCTGCAGGGTTGGGTCCTTTAACTGGGCCCCTCCTCACAGAGCAGACAGACGTCAGGGCTGGTGAAGGGAGGGGGGCCATGGTTAGTGGCCCCACAGTGACTGTGGTGTCCCAGAAGGGTAGAGAGAGCTGCCCTGTGGTCTTCGTGCTTTGAGGGCAGGAGGTAATGCCTGATGGCCCTAAGTCTTCTCACCTGGACCTTCCTGTGTTTGCAGATCTCAGACCCGGAAGACAGCCCACCAGGGGACTCCCGGGAGGTGAGTGACACACCGGCCCACCCAGTGCCCACCTGGGCTCACAGCTGGAAGCTCCCGTCAGCCCGCTGTCCACACTGTCCCTGGCAGAGTGAACAGCCTGGCTCCTCTGTGCCAGAAGAGTTTGCCCCTCCTTCCCACACTAGCAGGATTAGCAGAGAAGAAAGAAGTCCCCTAGGTCCTGCTTGCTTGGGGGCAGCGGCAGGCGTGGACAGTGTCCCTCAGCTCCACTCACCAGCAGCCTGCGAGGCCCAAACCTTGGCAGCTCTGGGCAGTGGGACTCAGGCGCCCTTTCTCAGCAGCTCTCACTGCCCCGGAGCCTGGAAGAAGATGTCCAGCTCTCCGACAGAGGTGAGACTGGGGCTTAGGCCAGGCCTCTGGGGCTTGGGAAGGAGATGTGAGTCAGGGTGCAGGAAGTGTCTGGCCTTCCCTGAGCCCAGGCTCTTGCTAGTTGCCACGTATGCCCCAGCCCTTGCCTCAGCGATGGCGCATCTGGGGCCAGGAGCACACCCTCTGCCTGCAGCCAGTGCCATGTCCCCACTGTGGTCAGGACTACGTGAAGCCCCAACATGGATGGGACTCAATCCACACATGAGTGTCCCCCAGGGGAGGCAGACTGAGAAGGGAACTGCCTGAGTGTTCAGTTGGCTTCACGGACAACTGGGGTGCAGGGTTTGTGATCATCTTGGGAGCAGGGTAAAGGTGTGGCTAGAGTGACAGCTAGGGTGTGAGCAGGGGCTGCTTGGCCCTGGAGAGAGGGGATAGTTTTCATGAGACTTCAGAGAGACTTCCTCAGGGTCAGGCCTCGATGGCAGGAAAGGGAACAGGCAGCAAAATGGAGAAGTTGGGGTGGCTGGGGTCTGCTGCGCTGAAGATGTGAACTTGAGGCCAGGACTCATGAGGGGGCAGGGTGGGAGGGGCTCAGGAGGGCAAACTCTACACTGCCCCTGAGGGCTCTTCAGAGGGAGGAGTGAGCTGCAGGTCACGTGCTCCCAGAAGCCCCTTCCCTGGTCCAGAGACCATCTCCAGGAACAAGGGCCTCAGTCTCTGTGTCCTTAAAAATGGTTTTTCATGTACACTGAACACAAGGATTCAGGGACTCTTGTGTGATTCAGACCCGCTGAAACCGAGTGAGCTTCATGGCAGTTGACAGTGTGTCCCTCACCAGTGGGCATGACTGTCTCCTGTGGGCGGGGCTCACCGCCCCATGGGCGGAGTTCACCACTTCGTGGGCGGGGGTTTGCCAACCCGTGGGTGGGACTAATCATCCAGTGGGCGGGGCTAATCACCCGTGGGCGGGGCTCACCACGCTGTGGGCGGAGTTCACCTACCCATGGGCGGGCTCACCACCCCATGGGCATGGGCGGAGTTCACCACCCTGTGGGCGGGGCCCACCACCCTACAAGCGGGGCTCACCACCTAGTGGGCGGGGCTGACGACGACTCCCCCTTTCCAGGTGGCCTAAGTGAAGAGCAGAGCCTGGAGCCGCCCTTCATGGCTCTGCAGGAGCCACTTTCCCTGACTCCCAGCGTAAGGCTGCCCAGGGTCCCCGCTGCCCACAGTCCCTGTCAGGGCCCAGGCCTCATGCTCCCGCACTGGGTCTGTCTCCTTATGAGGCGGTCTCCTTCCACGTGACTGTGATCATAAGGGGGGCGGGGACAGTGTCCAGAGGCTCCGCCCACAGACATGATGGGGGGATGGTGCACTAGAGGTGGGGCCTGACTCCTTAGGAGTCTCTGCAGAAACTGACCCGGGGCACCTTCAGTCCAGCTCCCAGGCCATCAGGGCTTCGGTGCTGAGCTGGGGACCCCCACCGTGAGCCTCCCCTTCTGCAGTACACGGGCCTGAGCTGCGGGGAGCCCCCTGAGAAAGAGCGACGTCGCCTCAAGGAGAGCTTTGAGAACTACCGAAGGTGGGGTGTTCGAGGCAGTGGGCGGACAGGGGCGAGGGGCGGTGGGGGTGCCCCGTAGACTCCTGCGACGTGTGTGTCCCCAGGAAGCGGGCCCTCCGCAAGCTGCAGAACGGATCGCGGCAGGGGGAGGTGGACTGGGGGAACACGACGGGCAGCGACAACACGGACACCGAGGGGCCCTAGCCAGCCGGCCCCCACGGATCCCGCAGGCGGAGGAAGAGCCTGCAGTGTGCACGCTGGCTGCGGACTCAGGGACCACCGGGACTGGCGCTTTCGGACTTCGTGTTCGCGCCCGTCTAGGCACATTTTAAAGGCTTGGCCTGTTTTCATTCTTTGTAAAAATAAAAATGGAGTGTTCAGCTAAGTAAACTGTTACTACGGAATTGCACGTGTGGCGGCGACACGGAGAAGCGACCCATTCGGGAACCGCGGGGTTTCCCTCGCGAGCATCGCGACGCCCACCAGGGGGCAGCAGAGCCGGCGCCGCCAGCCGGAAGTCACTGGGGCCGCTTCCGCCCTGTGCCCGCTTCTAAAATGGCGGCGGGGCGGGGTCGGGGGCGGTACTAGTGGAGCGGCGGGTGGGATGCTGCGGGCAGTGCTGGTTCGTGCGCCGACGCTGCTGAGCCCCGCGCGGACTCGCTACCACGGCCTGAGGCAGCTATGGGCGCGCGGAACTCGCCTGGAGGCCTCAGGGAAGCGACAGGCCTGGGCCTGGGCCTCCCGGCGCTTGAGCTCCGAGCCGGGGCAGGGGCCTGAGACCGCGCTGGGGCCTGTGGAGGCCTCACACTACCACTTGGTCTACACCTGCAAGGTGAGCTCACAGAGGAGCAAGGGAGGTGCCTTTCCTGTTGGGGCGGGGCATAGACTGGAGAGGCAACGCCTCGTTGTAAGGCATGAAGAACCTTGCTCAGATGGGGCGGAGCAATAATGAGGGCGAGGCCTTCCTATCGGGCAGAACTGGGACCAGATTGTGGAGGGCGGTGCCTTCGCGGGAGGGGGCGGGGCATGGGCTATGGGAGGGGCGATGCCAGCTATGGGGAGGGGCCTTCTCTCAGGGGGAGGGGCCAGTGAGTAAGGGCGGAACAT